CTGGTTGTCCTGCCACTCTCAAGCATCTAAGAAAGCAATCCCTAGGAGTGTGGGTTGGCCCAGGAGTTCAAGACCAGCTTGAGCAACATGGCAAGACCCTCTCTCTATGAAAAAATAGAAAAATTAGCCAGGTGTGGTGGCACACACCTGTAGTCCTAGCTACAGGAAGACTGTAGGCAGGAGGATCACTTGAGTCCAGGAATTTGAGGTTGCAGTGAAATATAATGGTAGTACTGCTTTCCAGGCCAAGTGACCTGGGAGAGAGAGAGACCTTGTCTGGAGGGAGAAAAAAAAAAAAAGAGTGTGGATTGACACAATCTTTCCCTTGGTGGGTAAACATCTCTCAGCCCCAGAAAACACTTAGGAGGGGCACACCCATACATACATGTTTGGGGATTAAAGAAACTATACATATTTGATGTGGAAGTGTTTTAAGATAATTTAGCATGTTAGAGTAATGCAGCTTTGTAATTCTTAATTGTGATAGTGAGCAATTGATTTAGCTCATGATTTTAATTTGAAGTGTTCTAAGTTGAATTCATTAGACACTAACCTATCTAAGAACATGGGACAGTTTGTTTTTAATAGAGATGGGACATCCCAGTGTTGCCCAGACTGGTCTTAGGCTCCTGGCCTAAAGAGATCCTCCAGCCTCAGCCTCCCAAAAGGTTGGTATTATGGGCATAAGCCACTGCCTGTGACCCAGTTTTTGTTGTGGTTGTTGTTAAACAGTTCTTGGGAGGAACATCAAATATGCTAAATGTAAGTATAGCTGGAAATATTTAAGGAAATTTACTCAATTCAATTAAAAAACCTTTAAAGTGAATGTTGAAATTGACTAGATTTACAAAGGGAATTATGTTTTTAAAACTGTGACTTCTTAAAAGCTTCAGAAGTAAGTAGGTTTTGAATAATTTGAATGCTAATTTTAAAAATAACTTTCTGTGCACAAAAATCACTTATGAGGACAAAAAAACCCTTGCATTGACAATATATTGCACTGGAGAGTGCATTATATTAATATAATTAATATATATTGCACTGGAGAGATCATTCTCTAGATGGGCAGGGAGGAAGGCAGGTCGAGAAAGGCAGGGATACCAGAACCAAGGGAGAATAGCAGTCTGCTCCTTTTGCCCAAACCTCATATTTGCCATTTTTGGGTTTCAGTCCCAAGCTCAAATTCAGCTTGAGCTATGAATTTATCTGGGAATTCATATGTCACATGCCCTAGAGACTGACACCTTACTGTCAAAGCCCCTGTCAATCAGTTCACTATGATCACCTTTCCGTAAAACACAATCTGAAATTTGCATCAGTACCTGATCTCTCAAATATGGCTTCCACCTTGGCCCAGACTCAGCTTTTGCATTATTTATCTGGCTATTTAGTCCACCCAGATTCTTCTTTATACTCCCTGGGTGCAAAATTAGAGCTTTGGAAGCAGCCTCAAACTTTCAGTCACTAGGGTCCTATTTATGCTCATTTACCAGAGTAATAATTCCTTAAATGGTGCCCTGGTGGCCTGAAGAAATGGATGCCCCTTTCGAATTGCCCAGTTTGCATCCTGAGCACGATTTAACCACCCAGCAACATGGAGAATTCTGTTTTTATTTATCTCATTAATTAACTTTCTACTTACTTTGATAGCTGTTCTCAGACTAGCAGTGTCATATTGCTTGGATAGGGGAACGCTTAAAACGCTGAGCTAACACAGGCTATTCCAGGCTGCTGAGCCAGAACACAGTCCTTCCTGTGTGTCCATGGGATGGGTTTCAAGACCCTCGTGGATACCAAAATCCATGGATGTTCAAATCCCTGACATAAAATGGTGTCGTATAACCTACTACGCACATCCTTCCATATACTTTTAACATCTCAAAATTACTTATAATACCCAATGTGGTGAAAATGCTCTCTATATGGTTGTGATACTATTTTATGCATTCTTGTATTGCTTTTTTTTTTCATTGATTTTGGGATTTTTGGTGAGTATTTTAGGTTGAATGGGACCAGTTGGTTAGTCAATATGGAGGACCAACTATACATATTCACATGTAAACAGCATTAATTCTTAGACGTGAAGGTCATGATATTCCTACATGCAGACAGTTTAACAGTTATACTAATTTCACATTAAAGTTACATAGTCTTTGTTCCCTGTAGTATTGTCACCTGTATATTGTGGTGCGTTGGCCTCTTCTTTGAGCCTCCAAGGACTTCTCCTCCCATCCGTCCACAGAGTTGCCTCTGTGTGGTAAATTTGTACTATGTGCCAGCCAGTGTTTCCTGGCCGTAGTTGATTAAACAAGAATGAGAATCTAATTTAAGCTTGGTCATTGCTTTCTGGGAAATTGAGACGTAAAGACTGGAGAGAGTGCCTGTTGATGTGGAAACGCCGTCCTGTAAGTGTGGCTCTGTGGTTGTTGTGCAGCCAATCTCCCGCACCACACATCTGTAAGGCCACGAGTCTGCCTGCAGAGAGAGTGGGGCAGAGACTCCGGCAAAGAGAAAGTAGATATGGGCCCAGAAGCACAGCAGACACAAAGCCTCTGGTTTCTTTTTTTTTTTTTTTTCCTTTTTTGAGACAGAGTCTCACTTGGTTGCCCTCAGTAGTGGGCTGTGGCATCATAGCTCACACCAGCCTCAAACTCTTGGGCTCAAGCAATTCTCTGCCTCAGCCTTGGGAGTAGTTGGGACTACAGGCACCTGCCACAATGCCTGGCTATTTTTAGAGACAAGGTCTTGCTTTGACTCAGGCTGGTATCCAACTTGTGAACTCAGGCAATCCACGCACTTCGGCCTCCCAGAGTGCTAAGATTACAGGCATGAGCCTCCACGCTGAAGCCCCTGGTTTCTGACAGCTTTCTCATGCCTGTCACCAGGCCCTTGTGCTCCTATCAGGGACCAGCCCCAACTATGCTATAGGTTCCCTCCCAGTGGCTTATCAGGAACAAGAGGATGAAGGAAAAATGAGGAGACAGAGACTAGACAAAGTTTAAGAGGTAGCTGGGCCGGGAGACTGTATACCTTTTTCGTGAGGATCAACACAGCATGCAGTGTCTTGCTCCAGGCTAGCTCCGTTTTTATTTCAGACACCACTGCTTTAATCATAAATCTCATGAGGGAAAGGCAAGCAGTTATGGAATGGTTCTTACTGCACGTGCACTTCTCTAACTAAACTATTTCTTTAACTGACTATGTGAATTGGATGGATTTACTTTTTACCTTTATTGTTCTAGGGCATTTATGATCTTTAACACAAACAGGACATGGAACCATGGAAAGAGTCCAAGAGCAGGACATCAGAGAAGACCCCGATTAGGTCAGGCACACAAAACACAGGAGTGACAATTAATACTCAAGAAGCTCCCTGCTCAGACAGACAGACGCTTCTGGTCATACCAAGGTGACAGAAGAAAGGAGATATTTTATCTCCTTATCTAGTCTGGAGCAAATCTTGCCTTCTTTAACAAAGTTTATACATTCTGCATATCCTAACTCCACAAAAGCACTCACTCTCGGGCAATGCCCATAGCTCAGTGGGTAGGGCACTGGCCATGCACCAGGGCTGGTGGGTTCAAATCCAACCTGGGCCTGCTAAAACCAAAAAACTAGCTGGGTATTGGGCAGCGCCTGTGGCTCAGTGGGTAGGGAGTCAGCCCCATATACCGAGGGTGGCGGGTTCGAACCTGGCCCTGGCCAGCTAAAACAGCAGTGACAAATGCAACAAAAATAGCCAGGTGTTGTGGCAGGTGCCTGTAGTCCCAGCTACTCGGGAGGCTGAGGCAAAAGAATCGCTTAAGCCCAAGAGTTGGAGGTTGCTGCGAGCTGTGACACCATAGCATTTTTCCCTGAGGGTGACGTAGTGCTTATAACAAAAACTTGAATACTGGTTTTAAGCTTATGAAATCGTTATTCCTAGCAATGCAAGCGCATCAAGATATACTCTTTCCCTTCAGCCCTCCCACAGGCACCCGCATGCTCCTGAGTGTACGTCCTGTTCTTGGAATCTGTGAAGTACCCCACGTTTTACAACAAAACCTCTGTTTCATCCTGGGTCACTTTGCATGGATTTCTCTTACTTGTAACTCAAAGAACCTTGACTAAGAAGTATAAGCCATTTACTAAAAATTAGGCATGGAATCTGAATCTTTAAAAAGAAAAAAAAACTTATTTAGGAGAAAAATAATGCCAGCTTCAGTGAAAAAAGGATTGTGGCCTGAACAGTTATATTAGGATCTCCACCTTTACAGTTTCCATTCCCAGCTCAAAACAGATCAAGTGCCCTGTGAGTTCACCTGGAACACCAAACTGAACACATGTAGAAACAACCACATTGCATTTGCCCTTGATTTCCTCACCAACTTTTACTTTCCAGCAGAGATCTATGGATTCTACAATGTAATATAGCTGCTTAACAGCTCGGTTCATATCTTTTATCAGACACTTAATGAGAATATACTCGATCATGCCCATGGTGGAGGTACAAAATGAATGGTCTCTGGCCTCTAGAGGGAATGTCCAAGGCATAAATAGAGAACGTCAGCACCATAGATTGAATACCTGTACCCCCCAAAATCAGACACTGGAACCTAACACCCAAGGTGATGATGATATTAGGAGTGGGAACCTTGGGAAGTGGGTAGGTCACAGGGGTAGAGCCCCCAGGAATAGAATTGGTGCCCTCATAAAGGGGTCCCCAGAGAGCTCTCTGCCCTCCCACCGTATGTGGACCAGTGAGAGGACGCCCTCTGTTCACCAGACGCTGAACCTGCTGACACCTGCATCTTGGGTGTTCCAACCCCCAGAAATGTGAGGAATAGCTTCACTGTTAATGAGTAACCCAGGCTGTACTACTTCGTTACAGCAGAACCCACCAAGATAGTCAATAAATTACATGCAAGTTCCTTTCCTCCCATTTCTCTGTTGTTAGGGCTCGATGGAGATGTATGGGAGAGACCACAGGATCAGCTACCTGGTCTGGACAGGTCACCTACCTTAGAGCCTGAGCTAACAAAAATGTACCCAATAGGACGATGGAGACCCGGGTTCCAGGTTTGGCTTTGCCAACACCAACAGCTCTGTCTGTGGTTTCTACATCCAGCCTGCAGAAGCCTTTTCCTAAACTGATCTTCCTGTCTGTTTTCACAACTGGAAATGGAGCAAAGGGAAACTGAGGGAGGGGCTCACACGAGTAGATCACTCAGGATTCAGTTGTAGGAAACACAGTTCCACCTGTTTTAAAAGCTAATGAAGCACTCACAAAGTTGCTGAAGGGGTAGAAGTAAGGGCTCTAGGCTGGGCCTTTAGGATGATTTTCAAAGTTTATGACAGAATTGGCCCCAGTACAGAGTCAGAGGCTCAAGCAAGATGTGTTGACTTCAAGGACACAGCCTATGTGTTGACACCCCCATAACCTGATCCAGGACAGCTAACTCTGGAGATCACGAAGCCGCTGATGGATACCGGGATCCTGCTATGGAAAACCCCAATGGATCCAGGGCAGGATGTGCTAGGAAGACAGCATAGCAGGAAGGGTGGCCTCTGCCTCACTTCCACCTTCCAAACAACAATGAGTATAATAAAGCTAACAATTATTAATACTAACTATGGATTAATAGTTAGGCTAACCAATTTGTATGATTAACTCACTTAGTTCTCATTAAAAACCTGTTGAGGTAGATGTTGTTATTATCCCCATTTTACAGACATGGAAACTGAGGTAAAGAAAAAGTGAGCATATCCATGTCACATAGGTGATAAGTAGCAGTACATACATGCACGCAACTCATTGTATAATTTACTTCATGTCTAGAACTTAGCTGCAAGGACGTCTGGGAAGAAAATGTGGTTTTCCCCACTCTGTGGCTCCCAGGGGCACACTAGAAGGAGTTAGGATGACAGAGGCATGGCTGTCCTACCACATCCATCCCCAGGGAATAGCTGCAGGCCCAGGGCTGTCCACGGCAAAATGGCCACAGGAACAGTGAACAGCCATTCAAGGCATCTCTTTGTCTCTGCTGCCCTAAGATTAGCTCACCACAAAACCCTATCAAAGCAATACACACGACTTCTAGATTTTATCTGACATTTTGCTGTTTGATCAAGTGGCTGTCTTTCCCACTATTTGGTCTTTCTCTGGCGAGTCCTGCCCAGGATCCAACTCTTTTGTTGTCTGTGTCTGTTTTATGGATACAAAATTATAAAACTTTAAGTTATGTGTTTCAAATTTACTCATTTTTGGAAAAATATGAAGTCTTTTCTTTAAAAAAAAGCAAACCAACACTGTATAATAATTACATGCTGGCTCGGTGCCCATAGCATAGTGGTTACAACGCCAGCCACATACACTGAGGCTAGCAGGTTCATACCCAGCTAGGGCCAGCTAAACAACAATGACAACTGCAACCAAAAAATAGCTGAGCATTGTGGTGGGCGCCTGTAGTCTTGGCTAGTTGGGAGGCTGAGGCAAGAGAATCACTTAAGCCCAAGAGTTGGCAGTTGCTGTGAGCTGTGACACCATAGCATTCTACCGAGGGCAACATAGTGAGAATCTGAGCTGTGACACCATAGCATTCTACCGAGGGCAACATAGTGAGACTCTGAGCTGTGACACCATAGCATTCTACCGAGGGCAACATAGTGAGACTCTGAGCTGTGACACCATAGCATTCTAC